GGGTGACTGCCGCCCTTAAGTTTGCCGAGTGCCCCAAGGGGCTGCGAAAGGGTTACGAATGCCGGCCTCTAATCCAAATCCACCACCACCCCCATCACCCTCCCCTCCCCTCGGGGCCTTAGCATATGCTAGTTTGACATAGTTCTTTGGGTCGAGCGCTGGTAGTGAAATATGAAATACTATTTATAACTTGATCAGCCCTAGATGGGTCAAAATGCAAAGCAGCAGGGGCTGACAGCGAATCATGCCCACTATCTATCAGTGCTCCGGGGGGGACATGAGGTCAGGGGTTGCGATTCTATTGGATTCTGTTCTATTCTGTTCGGGACTGGACTGATTTTGATATTGGCCTAGGGTTTTCACTGCTGTGCGGCTGTTAATTAAGTTATGATGGCAAACCGCAAACACTGCGTTGGCTTCTGCGTATATACAATATACATATCTGTATATCTGCATAGATATACATAGGCCCCGACAGTTTATGAAATTTTCATTAATTTTCGACCGCAGAGCGTTTCTGCTGATGCCTGGGTTTGCGGGATCTGGATCTTGTGCCCTCTGACCCCTCCGGCTGACAGCGTAACGAAAACTTGACGACACAGCACTAGCCTCAGCAGTCGTAATGAAATTTGCGACATGTATGACAGGACATTCAGTTTCAGGGGGTGGGTGGGGGTTGGAGCCAACTTTTGACAGGCATCTGTAAAAGTATTCCGTTCGGCGACCTTTGCCCTCCTGATGGATGATGACAAATGTGTGGAAAAGTTCTCCTAATTATATGATAATCAAAATCTATCAGCATCGCCTCTCGTTTCGTTTTTAATTAGGCCATTCGAAGGATGCCTAATCATCATAACAATACTTCTTGTGTATGCGAGGGGGGCGGAAATCGAGTGGGATCAGGAGCCAGGGCTGCCCCGTCATGGCATTAGCTTTAGCACTGGCATATAATTTAGATTTATCGCTTGATTTTCGCATAAATATCGACCATGTGGAGGGGTGGGGGGTGCGGGGAAGGTCTTCCACCACTTTTGTGTGCTCGTCGAGGCATAAAGGCAATGGCTCTGGAGCTGAGTGCCCGACTCGGCCTAACGACTTGTTGTACGTATAGAAGATGTAAAATCCAAATGACATTGAGGCGGTGAAAATGGATGTATATGTGTGCGTACGGGGGCGTGGGAGTGTCAGATAATGTCCGACTGCATAAAGCCCAAGTAAATGGCAGAAAAATCATTGGTGATTTTTCGTTTTATTGAATTTATTGCCACTTCGGGATTTAATAATGTCGTACAGTAAGTTCCTGGGCATAACCGGCTGAAAATATGTTGAAAGCGGTGCGTTGATTGTGTTAGAGCCACAACCGGTTGGCTTCCGTTTCATAACCGATACGTAAAACTCTTTAAGATCCCTTCTCTGATGCTGCTCTGTTTTGCCTTTACGATTATGTTCCATTTTCATTATTTCCTAGCCACAATAATGAGTTAAGGCATATTAAACTATATGTTTTTAGCCGGTACTCGTTGTGAATAAGCGTATTTTGCACTAAAAGTAATAAGAAGGTAAAGCTGAATTAAAGGACCCACTGTTAAAAAAAAAACATAATATCCCAACTTTTAACTGCCATTTAAAGCAATAGCTGTCTATAATATTAAGCATTCTTAGTATGATAAACTATATAATGCCTAAAATAATGGGACAAATAGTGTTACACTCTTTATAGCTTGTGTTTTAACTGAAAATTTAAATCGCAGAGAATGAAATTTAGCGCACGACTGTAAATTCACCGCATATCTGTTGCTACCAACTCCTAGCTGACTGTGGAATCGCCAAGAATTTCTCTGTCAGCTTTGCGCATAGCATTCCATCAACTAGCTTCCTCCCCTTGTAAAATTGATTTCATATCATCGTCGCCATCTTGACACTGATTATATGCCTTAACACTTGACTGCCCGCGGGGGCCGCGCGATTCTCTGAGCCTGGGGGCCATGGGAAAAGCGTGGAAAAAAGAAAATATCAACACACCATTTAGCGCTAAATACACAGCAAACTCTTCGGACACAAGAGAGCCTCTCGGGAGGAGCGGTTTTTGCTGTTGCTGCTGCTGCTGCTGTTGCTGTTGCTGCTGCTGTCCAAAAATTAACGCAAAATCAAAGTAAAAATGCGATAAATTGGCGACGACAAGCGCAACGCGGAGAAACAATAACAAAAATAGCGGCTGGCTGACGATGCTGACAACGTTGTGCCGCGCTTGAAATGAGCGAAAATCGGTCGAGCATATCAAATTGAAAAACTCCAAGACAACGCGACGGTCGACGGGGGATGAGGACGAAGACAAGGACGAGGATGAGGTCCTGACGGGTCCTGAAGCTCCGGTTCCGACTGCTCTAGTGGTTGTTCAGGGGGGTGGAATGGGTGGCATGGGTGGCTTGTGGCGCGTGATGCTTTTGCGTATCCTAGTGACACACAAATACATCGAAAGATAGAAACAGACACCCACGCACAAAGAAGCGAGAGCAAAAAGCGCGTAGCAAAAATAGCAGGGAAAAAAGAATAACAGCTAGCTACAATAATAACGCTTGAATGGAGTGCCGTGGGTTGGTGGGCGGTGGGCGATGGGCGGTGACACGTGGGGTGGTGAGACCTAATGGGCAAAAGAGGGGTTGTGGAGCGGGCCAGATGGACAGGCAACTGAGTAGACGACATTCATTGCTGCTTTGGCAGGTTGTTAGGTTTCCCGAGTCTGTCAAGGGCGGAGATTGTTAGCAGCTTGAATGAATGAATGACTGACTGACTGAACTCAACCGAACCGAACTGAACTCGACTGAATTGAGCTGACTATTGATGGATTTTGGCATATTAGCTGCCGGATTAATCCAGCTGGCCAGCGGATTGGGGCGGCATTGATGCGTTTCAGCCATAACTGATGCCCAATCGATTCAAAATGTTTCAAAAATTCAATTGATAACAGTTTCATAAGCAACACCCTTTTGAAACCCATTTCAGTAGATGTTTAAACCCATATCATTAATTGAAACAAATTATTGCAAAATTTAAGGCTATGTTTATATATGTACATATATTTATATAAGTGCTAGCAAATAAAAAATAAAAGCATTTTTATTTACATTTATAAAATACATGGTTATTTTGCCTTTTGCATGGTTGAACTGTTATCAAACAAATTTTTAGTTTCTTGCCTGTTTATATTATCATTAACGTTTCATTTAATTTAAAAATATCTTCCAGACTCTTAAAGCCGTGATGTTTTTATTGCCGGTAATCAGTACAAACCATTTCGCCACCAAACCCCATTTGCTTAAGTAGCGTTTTTTTGGAAAAAATTACCTTGGGAAATCAATCACAGCCATAACCGTTTCGCAGTATAAGCCAAAAGTGTGTCTCGGCCATAAGGGGAAACCCCCGAGAAAAAAAAGCACAACAAGCCGCGCCCCAAACTTCGCTGGCATTATTCAATGCCTCGCAGATGTTTTCCTTGTTGCTGCTGCTATTTTTGCCGGCTCTGAGCCAAATACTAAAAAACTGTGTACTTCCATCTGTTGTTGTTGTTGCTGTTGTTGTTGCTGCTGCTGTTGCTGTTGCTGATGTTGTTTTTGTTGATGTTGTAGTTGGCAAAAATTGTTGCGTTTCGCATATTAATTTCTTCCTGTCTTCGTGCGTCGTCATCATGATGAATTTGCCAGCATTTCGGTGAATGGGTGAGTATTATTACCCATTCGCTCTTCTTAAAAGGACTCTCTTAAATTGAATTGCAAACACTCTTCGCTGCTCTTATTGGCGTAGCCTTCCAGCCCGCCGTTTGTGTGTGTTTGCGGTTGTGTTCGCCCTTTGGGAGAAACAAGGAGGCACAGGCAGCCTTAATCACATTGTGAGTCATGTGTTTCATAAATATTCAACAGAAAATTATCATCGCAATGATGAGCACTTCCAGTCAAAACAGAAAATGCAAAAACAAGTGAAGAAGAGGGGCACCGAAACGCACATGTTTTTGCGATTCTCCAACCCTGTAAGCCCACCGACGACAAACCCCCCACCGCCCCCCGAACCAACCCAGCGGCCACGCGGGCAGACAACCAGCCAGTAAGCCCGGCACATGGCTCTCGCGCTCTCCCACTCAGATGCACTCCGCTCCACTACACAAGGCACCTTACATATCTAGGGCCCAAAACTAACCGTCTGGCCGTCTCGCTCGCACTCGCCGCACTCGGCCTGGGGGCGGGGGTCTGGAGAGCGAGAGGGCGCTAGCGAGAGAGAGCCTCGCCTGCGCGTGAATCGGCTGGCACGAGAAGTTACGATTGTGACAGTTCGGAGATTTTCCCTTTAGGCCTTGTTGGGTTTTCCAGCCTGCTCGGCCAGAGTGCCGCTATTCCGTGTGATTTTCGTGATTGTTGGTAGTACGACCTGGGTTTCGTTAAGGGTGGTAGAATAGTTCTATCCTAAGGGATCTCTTAGGAATACTATCCACTATAGGCACGAAAGCAACAAGCTAGCCATTATCAATGGTCCGAACCACCCCTGTCCAAACCAGATCTTATAGAGCATACGCCACTTCGGCTCGCAACTGTTTCGCCGCTCGATGGCGAACATGTTCGATCGAACGCTCGGCAAAAGAGCCGAACGAACGGTCGTGGGGGTGGACACCGACACAGACACCACACACCGCACACAACCCGCCGCAACACCCACTAGCCACCTCGAACGTGTGTGCGTTGCTGTTTTGCCGGCGTGTTGGGCTGTTGCGTTCGCTGGTTCGAATTGGTCGGGTGGGCGTAAGTTTGTTCGGGTTCGGTTCGGGTTCGGGTTCGGGTTCCGTTCGGATCTTTGGGGCTCTGGACGGCGTTGTAAGCGCCGTCCTTTTTCTCTCGTTTTTTGCTCTCTCGCTTGGCTAACAGTTTTGTTAACATCGATTTAACATGGGAGAATGTTGGGAAAACGACGATTGAGCCAGCTCTGTTCGTTTTCCTTCGGTTTTCCGTTCAAATTCAAAATGAAAATTCAGGTTTCGCCGTTCGGACGTTCACTTTGAATTTTGCTGCCCAAGTGCTGTGTAGTTAAGTCGGAATATTTCGTATAGTTCTCGTCGACGTCGTGTGACATTTGTTCTTCAATTCAGAAACGCATATTGAAACACAGCGATAATACAAGTTACGAATATTCAACAAAACAAAAAAAAAAAAAGAAACACAAAATAAAACCAACCAATTAAAATTAAAAATTCAAATTCGCTTCAAAAATATATATTACAAATATAACAACCAATTTAATCAAAACCAAATTCGCCACAAAAATCGCAAACAAAGTTTACAAAATTCGTTTACTCAATCCCATAACACAAAACAAAAAAAAAAAAAAATAAAACAAACTACAACTAATGCAAATATATAACTGTTAAAATCTGTAAGCAAGGGCAATTACCACTAAGATCATCCTAAGCTTGTGCTCCAAAATATTTCACATCGATTTTCCCGACTCATTAGAACTTCTTTCATTACAATTTCTGTAGAATCTCTCCATCAGCATCATTAGCATTAGCTCCAGAAATAGACTGACTGCCGCGATAAACAAAACCCCAAAAATAATTAGAAACAATTTGTAAACAAAAAAAATTTCCAAACAGAACTGGGCAGAGAGGAAACCCAATTGCCGATCAGGTTGTTTTTCTCTCTTTGCCTGGGGCTTACTTTTTGGATATTTTTCCACGCTCTGTTTTATTCTCGATGTGTTTTTTTCAATTTGCCTAGATAAACAAACGAACGAACGAAAATTGTTTCACGCTCGCAGCACACGAAAACATTTTCAATTAAAATTTTGGCCCAAAAAGCCAACCAAACTAAAGCAAACCAAAGCAGAGCGAAGCACAGAAAACGTTTCTCACATCGAATTTGAATATTTTGAGCATTCCATAATTTCGTTTCCATCTCCATGGCATTCCGACTCTAAAGCACTCGATCCCATTGAAACCATTTTTCGCCAAAATCTGTTTTGTTTGCTGTATTTTGTTGTATTTTAAGTGTAGCCGTGCCAATATATATGGCCCTGTTAATTGAATATGCATTGCTCTTAATGATTTTTGGCCAGCAGAGCATGATTTTCCTTTCCTTGTACTGGGATTTGCTATTTAATTTTTGGTAGAACTTTTTTCAGTTGGTTAAAATGTTTTACGGCTGCTTTGATGTGGCCCGAATGGCCAATACTTACAGTAAATGATTTTCTCTGACCAAAATCCGAAATAATTTCGATCTGCGATGAGTGTTAAAATGGTCGTAAATCGCTACACTAATTTCTGAAATTTATGAGAGGCAGCTTTAATTTCTGGAGTGAACGAAAAATAAATACTGGTTGCACATGAGGAGTTCAAGAGTTTGATATAAATGCTGAATCTAAGTGAACTGTTTTCAAACCAAAAAAGTTGAAATATTTTTTGTACATTTTCTTTAAAGTGCTTGAAATTGTTCGCATAGTATTTAGTGAAGTGCTTGAAGGGTTTTTTTTCGGACTGTGTTAGCTTTCGAAGAAAATTTAGTTATGAAAACCCATTCAGAAATCCACAAAATATTTGCACCTTTTCTAAATATGTTCATATATTCTTCTTTGGCCTTCGCAGAAGCAAGTCTATGCCTTGAATGGAAATGATAAATCATTTGCTTTGCCAACAACAATAAATATATCAAAAAATATTTACCTCCGATTGATTTTGTTGCCATTCCCTGAGTTCACCTCACTTCCAAGCAATTAAACTCACAGTCGAAGAAACATTTCAAGCCAACTGTACTTGGAAAATCATCCAATTACCCATGCTTACAGCGGAAACAGACCAATATTCACGAAACACAAATTTTAATTCGATTTTAGAAACGAGCAGAAAAATCAGAGAGAAAAAAAATATAAGAGAGATAGAGAAGAACACGCGTGTGTTTAAATACTGGAAAATACAGATAAGATAAATTATTATAAACACTAAGCCATACACACATTATAGCAGGCTAAACCACACGAAAAATACATTAAAATCAATAAGTAACAAGTACAGAAAAGACAGTTCAAGTGAAATACCGAAACGAAACTTTACAAAAAAGTGCTTAAAAATATAAACAAAAAATTGGAAAACTCAGACAAATAAACAACGGCCATTTTCAGAGGAAGAAAAACCGAAAAGCTTCCAGAGAATCGGTGAAAATCGTTAACAATTTTTTCTCGCAAAGGCGCCACGTCCAAGAGCAAATCGTTCCATATGGTTCATATTATTGAATTGGTCGGCCAGCCGAAGGTTGAGTTTGCTCAACAAGTTACTGTGAGTATCAAAATCGAGAGTCAAATGAATTTTTTTTCACCGCATGGCAAGTGGGGAGTGCCGGGGGCGGAGGACGGGGCACAGTGGGGCCCAAAATGATAATAAATCTTGTTGTCCGCAGTCACGTAATGACAACTTAATACAAATACATATGCATACATCGCCGCACACACTAACGCACTTTTTATTATGTTGTTGTGACGCTTTTCCTCTCCATTTTATTTTTTTTCCCTGCCTTTGGCTTTGCTCAACATATTTTGACAATTAATCATTCGCTGTGTCTGTGTGTCATTCTCTGTGTGTGTGTGTGTGTGTGTGTGTGTGTGCGAGTGTGGGTGATTGCGGTTACATTTTTTCTTTGTGCGAAAATTCGAAATCAGTGCGTCTGTGTGTGTAGGTCAATGTGAGTCTCGTTTTTGCCGTCTGTGTCTCTTGGCCATTAACACGCCGCAAAATTTTCCCAATGACCAACATCTCCGCTCGCTGCTGGTCCCTTTGTTACGAGTCCCGACTTAAAGAGCTCCGTGTCCTTCAGGGGAAAGAAATGCCAGAATATCCAAAAAGTAGACTACGATTCGGCTAAAGATTAAATTTAAGACAAGATTATGCGAAAGTTTTGTTTGGCATACTCATTTAACTTTACATACTTATCCAAACAATTAATTAAAACAAATAAATGCCAATACCCTAAAGATATCAAGAATTATACAATTATTTTAATATTAATTGGCTTTTAAGCTGTCACGCCGTTTTTCGATTGAGATAACAATTAATGGGATTTATTAAATTTGTCTGTTTAAGTTTTTTGTTTAAATTAGGTCTTTAAATTAACTGAAATAAATATAAATTAGTTGCAATAATTACTGAGCTGTTTTTTGCCAAGAAAATTATTTTTCGTTTAATAATATTTACAAAAATACTTTGATGATTAATAAGGCTGCAGACTTGTTACGAAATTCAAGAAAAAACTTGTATAATTTTTTTCATTTAAAGAGGCAAATATTTGTAACAATTAAAGAAAATAAATTATTGGTTTTTCCTAAATGAAAAATAGATTGTTGGTTTTTCCTAAATTAATATAGTAAATTTCCCAGTTAAACGACAGTAGATTAAGATTTATTTACATTGCGCTTTGTTTATATCATTTTATCTGGCTTTCTATATTCAACCTGATAATTCTTTAACCATATGGCTACGTCTTTAACCTACTTATTGATTTATCAACTTTTTCATTCACTTGCTTCTTAGTCTCTTGATTCTGCCCGAAAGTTGTCAACCAGCTTTGTGAAATTTACGAATCGAACAAAAAAACTTAAATTCTAATCGGATTTACATTTATTTCTGTTGCGTTGAGTAACAACGTGCTGACCTCTCTTTCACCCACCCAATATCTGTCTATCTATCTGTTTCACTTTCAGCTGACTGCTTTATCATATATGTCGCTACTGCTGCTGTTGTTGTTGTTGTTGTTATTGTTGTTGATGTTGCTCCAGTTGTCACCCTCTTTTCTCTTATTCTCTATGCTCTATTCTGTATTTTTTTGATTTTATTACAACGCCAACGCAGAAAAGTCTGTTACTCGGGGATATTGCGTAAATTTCATTGTGTATTTCACTTTTATGGTGGTGGCTGTCTAGGATCGGGCATAGATGGTAGAAGTTTAATGGTAGATGGGGGTTGCACGGCGCAGAGGGTGGTGGGTGGATGTGGGCTGTGGGGCATTAGGGTGGTGCGTGCTGCGTTAGATGACGTCGCCGGCGTTCTTTGTTGTCCTTTGTGCGTGTTCCCCGCACTCCCCTCACTTACTTACTTACTCAACTTGTGTGTGTCTGCCTTTTATCCTTGGCAGGGATGTTCGAAAGTCCTCCGTTTATCCTTACTCTCCTTATTCTAATGATGACACATGCGTTCTCTGTTGCTTTTCTGCTATCCTGCTATTCTGCTCTCCCCCCGTGCTATTGTTGTTCAATATTTTGTGCCACTTGTTTTGATTTTTTCCACATCCTTTTGTTGCTGGCATTACGTGTTACCTAACTTGCTCGTTAAATGGTTAAGTGGAGCAAAGTCGTTGACACAGTTCTTTTGGTTTTGGTTTTGGCTCTGGCTGTGGGTTCCTTTTTCTTTCCTTTCAAACTCAACGCTTGCATTTTGGGCCATGACTCACAGACACGGACTTTCCGCTTGAAGTTATATCCTTTGATAGCCAGTAAGTTCTTTTCTGAGACAGCAAACTATCTAAGCACACCATGCAGCACTGGCATTAAAACCACACACGAATATTTTGGGAAAAAATAGCCAAGGAAAGTTGCTTCACAATATCGGTTAACTTTTAGTATCTTATTCTTTATTAGTAATCCATTTATAAGTACACATTAGTTTCCATTTCATTCTGTTTCTTTTAAAAATATTATATTTCAGCTGAAAGCCTGCTGCTTATATATAAATTTCGAATAAAATTAAGACAATCTTTATTGGCTCTAAAAGTGATGCAATTTCTATGTTTCTGCCAATGATTTATAATGATGAAAGTCCTTTATTTACTCAAGGTTGTAAAGATCTTATGTGCTTCTAAAATCGTTATCTCGCCTTTTATCTACTTACATCTTTACAGCATATCTTAGACCATTTACCTTTAGTGCCCTCCTTATATATTCTTTCATCTTCACCCTTCAAACATTATGCCGCTTCACTCCTAATCGCCTCTCCTTTGGCGGCGCTTTCTTGGCACTTGCCACTTGCCACTTGGCACAATCATACACTTAATTTTCCACTTCATTTCATAATTTTACCCTTGAAACCAATAATCTTGAGGAGACCGAAGGAGTCGGCCTGGCTTGTCAGCCCCTGGCATAATATACCTTTTGACGGACCCCAGCCCCTCCCCCCGCCTCCCACAAGAGGACACCTGGGGGCGCATTCAACAGCTCGACGAGACTAACACACACAGAAACACACGCACACACACATGCAATGCTATTAAATTACATGCCACTGCAAATTACTTGAGAAAACAAAGCAAAAGAAACAAAAAGTCGGAGGGAAAACAAGACGGACCGCATAGCGAGAACGCCTTGACGTATGCAACAATAATAATAACGGGTTGTGGTCGCCTTTTGTTATGCTTGGCTCGCTGCTTTGTAAGCCGTCAAGCATTTACATACCATTAGACGGGCCAAAACGGGAGTGGTGTGGGTGACAGGCGTATAAATATTGAAAAGCGCCAACGCCTTTTGTTGGCTCGCTGGTAATTGCTTAAGTCGGCAAATTGCCCAGCCTAATAATCATAAATACTACCTAAGAAGGCAGGGCGAACGACAAAGCGAAAATTTGTTTGCCAATGAAATTTTCTTGCGGGAACTTCGGAAGGGTTAGCACAGAGTTTTCCACTATAGGAATGGGCTTCAAATTGGTTAGGAAATGGAAAATAGAATTAGTATTCAATAAAAGACGTCCATTGTGATCTAAATATATAGCTCAAGTCCAAATACTCGAACCACAATCACTCATTATTTATGTAAACTAAGAAAAACGTTTGCTTCTGATCTCTAATGTTAATAAAACTAAGTTTATTCATACTTCTCTCAAGTCAAGTAAAATCAAGACATAAATATAAAAACACAAAAATAAAAAGTAATTGATAGCGCAAACTTAAGCTGCAACTTTTTTCCAATAATTATAAATTGCTCAAATACTCAAATAAAATGATAACGATTTTTTTATATTAAAAATAATTCAATCAACATTAATCAAAGTTTTATTAATGGATGTGCAATCAATCGACGAGCGGATATTAACGTGCAAAAATATCCAATCAAACTTTTTTTATGGTTACTGCAATTTCCCCTTGAGAAATTCTAATGAAATCCTTTTTAGTTCTTAATTACGCTACGCTTGGCAGAAATTACTTGAGTTTTTATTATGTATGTCGAAGGGCACGCTCCTCGGACTTGCTCCGGGCCTTAATTTGAGTTTCTTGATTATTAGAGGTGACAGTTTTATAGCTTTGTTAACAGGCAGCACAGACTGCACCCCCAATGCTCTCTGGCCAAAGGTTTTTTGCCTCTTTTGTTGTGCTTGGCATGTTCAGCGCTGATTATGCTTTGTGTGCCAGCAGTGGGAAAAGCGAGAAAAGCGAGAAAAGCGGTAAAGTGGGAAAACGGGAAAACTCACCCCCAGGGCGGTGGAAAACTTATCGCAATGGGGCAGGGACGAGGGTCGGGCATTAGAATTACTTGCGTGATTAACGCACACCCTCGAGCGTGTCCATTCCCCAGCCCATTGGCTCATCGGGCCTGGTCTTATCTATGGCTGCCTGCCTTAATTGTGGGTCTTCCATTTGACTATCGATCGATTTTCGATTCCATTCAATTCGATCACCGTAATGAGGCAACTTCGAAAGCTGCACAGCTCATTAGGTTTCCCGCTGTATATATGGTCAGTATATGGTATATACCATATATTAGTTATATATTTTCCGACTTTCGACTTTCGACTTTCGAGTTTACCCCAGCTCCGATTTCCTTTGGCTCTTCTGCTTTTGCTTGGGCTTCTGCACGTTTTCCTTTGTTTTGTTTATGGCTTCTCAAAATAGCTGAATCAAAATGTAAACAAAAGCGCAAAAATACCAAAAACGAAAATGGGCAAAGCAAAGGAAAATCTCGCACTTCGCAGCGGCGGCAGCTGCGTGCGTCATGCGAACAAATTTTCCAGATGCTTTTCCCCTGCCACCGCCACCACAATCACCACCGTCACCCCGCCGCCCTCCCTTTTTCTCTCTGTGCATCTGTATATGTATGTATACTTTGCATACTTTTTAATGCCTTCGCCAAAGTGCAAAACCGCATGTAGAGGCCTTTAGCTTTCGGCTTTAGCGCTCTCTTAACCGGCTGAACAATAAATTGTATTTCTGTTTATTATTTATGTGCCCCATCAGAATGTTTATGGTCTTCTACGTACTATATATACTCTATAGGCCAGTTTCCCTTTGCATTTTGCATTTT